GTATAAGTATAAACAGGTATCAGTATATACATAATAAATGTATGTATATATGTATGTTTTAATTCACTAGAAGAAGAGAGTGAGAACAGGAAAAATAATACTAACAAACCATGAAAACCTACACCTCTTTGATATGAAGCAAAGCTGGGCTTGCATAGAGAGTGGAGTTAGGTTGCAACGAGTTATAATGGTTAGCATTTAAGTCTCTTTTATTTATTTTAATTTATTTATTTATTTGTTTGCTTGTCAAACATGTACAAGATTAAGTATAAGAATGAACATAAACAGGAACAAAGGAAATAAATATGGATAAATGGGGACAGTATTTTTGCTTTAGGAGAAAAAAGAAAATAGGCATAAAAGCTGGAATACAGGTAGTCTTTTACTTCTGACCACAATTGGGTCAGTTGCCAATCCTCTGAATGTTGATCGTGGGGAAATGGGGATGCTGCAATGGTCATAAGGGTGAAAAATGGTCATAAATCACTTTTTTTCCAGTGTTGATATAACTTTGAATGGTCATGAAACATAGTTGTAAGGTGAGGAATATTTGTATCATGGTTGATGTGGAATGTTTATTAAGGGATGGCTTACAACTGAAATGGCAAAGTACATTTTTTTTAAGAGTACCATTTTGCTGAATGTAATGTGTGGGTGATTGGGTATATACATTTTATTCTTAACTGAAAATATTCTTGGAATGACTTACATGAGATCAAGTAAAATAAAAAAAATTATCACTTGTTGCTTGTATGCACCAGAGACAAATTCCTTGTATGTCCAATCACACTTGGCCAATAAAGAATATTTCTATTTCTCTAAATGACTGGTTTTCCCAATCTTGTGTTTTTCAGTTGTTCTGGATTTAATTTTCATAATTCACAACCATCAGCCACAGTGGTTGAATATTAAAGGAGATGGGGCTCCAGGAATCTGGTGGAGGCTACAGAGAGAAAACACAGGATTTTGTTTTTAAAGTGATGAAGAGGATAGAAGAATAAAGTTGAAAACCATCAATTCTTAAATTCATATATAAAATTAAACTTTTGGCCTGGGATATTGCCATTTGGAAGTAAGTTCCATTTTCTATCCTTTTGACATCTAGTAGTTTTATTTTTAAAAAATCAAGCCATCTAGCTCTGATTGTCCAGGTATCTTTCTTTTCTTTTAGTTGTCCTTGTGCCTTTGAGGAAAATGTCCTTGGATATAACATTTCTGGGGACAGGGGCTGCGTATCCATCTCCAACCAGAGGGGCCTCAGCTACAGTAATCCGTTTTGAAGGAGAATGCTGGCTGTTTGATTGTGGTGAGGGAACCCAAACACAGTTTATGAAAAGTAATCTGAAAGCAGGTGAGTTGTAGAGGTTGTAAATAACTTTCCAGAGCCTAGAAGTTGCAATTCTGATCATTTGCAGAATTAGATGATGATTGGTGGGTTTTTTGGGTGGGGTAGGCAAATTCTGGGAAACACTATGATGGAAAGGTAGTCCTCGACTTATAATCAGGGCTTCAGGATTCCTTTTGTCCCCTGAAGTCCTTGCTTTGTTGATTCATAAGACCATGGGTCTTCAAACTTGGCAAGTTTAAGACTTGTGGACTTCAACTCCCAGAATTCCTGAGTTAACATGACCAGAGGAGGAATTCTGGGAGTTGAAGTCCACAAGTCTCAAAGCTGTTGAGTTTGAAGATCCCTGCATAAGACTGACAGCTACATTTGCCTTGTTGATTTACACCTCGGGATTTGGGGAAGAGTTTCCCATGTGCTCAGGCCTTTTTGTCTGGTTTAGGTGACACTTGTCCTTTATCTATCCTTATCTATTTCTATCTCCTGAAGGGATCTTTTAGACAAGTTGCATCCTGTTTATGTGACTGCGCCATCTTTACATATGGCAGTGTAGGAAGAAAAATCTTTCTGGTTCAGTTCCAAGCAGGAGAAAGACACTGGAAATAAAATGGAGGATGGAAGCTGGAAAGAAAGTCAATTTATTGATGAAGCAGAACCACTAGGTTTTGTGATACTGGAGCAGCTGACCGAATGGTTGAATGAGTGGATGGATCTTTATAGGTTTCTGTGACTTTGAAATTTTAATTGTTCTGGGGGTTGTGCAATGAAGGAGCTTTTGTGTCTTTTGCTAAATGGTGGTGGGTTAATCCTATTGTGGCTAGTGGCTTTTGTCCTGTATTGGATCTTGGATGAGGAGGTGCTTGTTCTAATCCTATCATTCTGCTTTTGTTAGCTGTCAAACTTTGCAGCAAAGAGTTTCAAAATATCCTGTCTTGAATGGGCTTCTGCTGGTAGTATTTGCTTTGTTTATGAATTGAGCCATCTAGATAGTTGGCTTCCTCTTTCAATAAGCTCTTTATCTCCTTAAGTGCTGGCATCTGCTGTGGGCTGTTAAGAAAGGTGGGGGCTGCTTTCTGCCTCTAAAAACATGTTTCTCCATTTCTCCTTTACCAAAATATAATATTCTGCCTTTTTAATATTTCCCAAAATATTTCATTCTTCGGGGGGAGGGAAGGAGGGCTTCCCACAGCAGCTTAGGCATAATCTCACAAGGTAACCTACCCCTGGCGGTGCCATGTGGGGAGAGGGGATAGTTCTATAAGTGTGTGTGCCACTTGCACAAATGCCGTTTTGCGTGCGTGCTTCCTTGCCACTTGCATGGCCTGATTCCCAATGGGCCGCAGCCCGGTACCGAACCACGGACCAGGGGTTGGGGACCCCTATGCTAAGGTATGATGCTAAAAAATAAAGCGGACAAAAGAGTGAACATGAGCTCAGATCAGCTTTAGAACAGTAATGGTGAAACTTTTTGTTGTGATGTGCCAAAAGCGTGTGCGTGCTGGCACCCACAATGCAACGGGCCCTGCCCCCACTGCACATATGCACGCAAACACCCTGCCCCGCCGGCTTACCTGCACTGCGCATGCGCACCCCTCCCAGCTGTTTTTTGGCCCATTTGAGGCCGTTTTCGCCCTCCTGAAGGCTCGAGGGAAGCCTCTGCAGCCTTTGGAGGCCAAAAAACAGCCTGTTTCGGCACTTCCGTTATTTCCGGAAGGCCCGTTTGGGAGGCGTGCACATGCGCAGTGCAAGTAAGTTTGGCTGGGGCTTGCGTGCCTGCACAAATGGCTCTGAGTGCCACCTGTGGCACACGTGCCATAGGTTTGCCATCACGGGCTTTAGAACTTCCTACTCAGTCCTTATTCTGTTGCTTTTATCTTCCATTTGTTTTTAATTTTCACCCTGTGTAGCCCTTGATGCTATCAATCTTCTGTTGTCAGGAAAGATTACCAAGATTTTTATAACTCATCTGCACGGGGACCACTTCTTTGGCCTTCCTGGACTGTTGTGTACAATCAGCCTGCAGTGTAGTCCTGACACCAACAAGCTGCCGGTGGATATTTATGGCCCCCTTGGGCTCAAGGATTTTCTCCAGAGAACCATGGCGCTTTCCCGTTCCCAGCTGGTTTTCCCTTATGTGGTCCACGAACTGGTTCCCACACCCAACCAGTGCCCTGAAGAAGAATGGAATGATGTGTTTTCCGGGAAGCGAGATGAGGTCGCCTGTCCAGAACCACAAGGAGACATGATTTATCTGAATCCTGCAGACGACTCATACTTCTTGGTGGATGGTGGGCCGGTCGTGATGAAGGCTTTCAGATTATTTCATCGCATACCTTCCTTTGGGTTTCTGGTGGAAGAGAAGCCACGGACTGGCAAACTCAACACTCAGAAATTGAAGGAATTAGGTAGGAGTACATCCAGCTCTGCTGATTACTAGTACTATATAAGCAGTCCTTAACTTACAACCATTCGTTTAGTGACCGTTCAAAGTTACAGAGGCACTGACAAAAGTAACGTATGACCATATTAAATTTGAATTTACTGACGAAGAAATAAAGGGAGACTAGTATAGCTATTTTGTGTGTTTGTGTGTGTGTGTATGTATATTTGTATATGTGTGTGTGTGTGTGTGTGTGTGTGTGTAGGTCTAGGTATGTTCGGGTTTTTCCTGTGTAAGATTGAGAGTATCTTGGCGACGTTTCGGCGAGATCCCACTCGCCATCCTCAGGCTGGTGCTTTCGGCTTCGTGCCAGTGCAATTTAAAATACATACATGCATACATACATACATACATACATACATACAATAGCGATCTATCTACATACACGCACAAATGTATGTACGTACATATGTATGTATGTGTTAGGGATATACACCCTAGCAGAACGTGCAACGGTAGTCAGTCAGGCAGGCAGATATGTGAGATAAACGTTGTTGTAGTTTACACTCAGTAAAACAGATACACAGTGCTAGTTAAATAGTTTATTCCAGTAAGATTGTTAGCATAGTCAAACAGTCCATATATCATACACTAAGTTTAGTCCGTCCGGGGATTATTCATTAGCAAAGTCCAGTGTCGAAAAAGAGGTCAGTAAACTTACAAATAATCAGTCCAGTAATATATCTCTTTTTGCAGTAGAGATATGAAGAAAATCAAACCTCTTTTCTTCGTTCAGCAAAAGCAGGGAAAACACGCAGTTATCACCATCAATCCATCATTGTCAGCAATCCAGTAAAAGCCAGCAAACAGTGAGCTCTCTTGCTCCCTCTTATGGTGATTTTACAACCGCACCCAAAATACATGGTCTGCATTTAAAGTGATACACACAATCATAGTCTATATATATTATTTTACCCAAACTAAGTTAGGTAACCATGTTATCCCTAACAGTATGTATATATAAAAGCGAAATATCATGCATCATCACAAAATCTCCATAATTGTAAATCCTACAAACTTGAAATTCGGCACGTATGTTCCTCTTGGCTTCTAGGTGCTCACTAAGAAAGGATTTTTCAAAATGACCATCAGAGCATTAGTATTTCCTATATTATTATTATTAACACACTCTGATGCTAAGGAGTTTTACTCCTCCCCACCTGAAAAGAAATCTGTTCCAAATGCAAAACACAAGCAGAGGAGTTTCCGTTTCCGTTTTAGTTTCACAGCAGCAACCAGCTTTAGTACAGAACAGTTGAGCTAAGCCACGTCCAGGCTCCTTGCTGTCTCCTTGCTCACACAGCAAATACTGTTTCAGTTTCCAAACAGTCCTCAACTCTCACATGCTGACAGGATGCTAGCCAGATGAATACCGATGGATGCTGGTAGGCAGAAATTGCCCCCTCCCTTATTTTCCTCCCCAAAAACTAAGCCCAACCACATAGTTTAATAGTGAAGCACGTGTATCAAGCTAGTATCTATATATGTCTATATATATCTATAAACATCTATCAATCTATCTTATCTATCTATGTATCTATTTTATCTAATCTATCATATCTAATCTATTTTATCATATCTAATCTATTTTATCTATTTATCTTATCTAATCTATCTATACTGTATATATATCGAATTGCTATACTAGTTATATATACACACACACGCACACACATACATAGTATAGCTAAATATAAATTCAGCACAAAAAGAGTTTGTCGCAAAAGTGACTGCCTGCAAACAGTCCTGGATTGGGCTGGAAGGCAAAAGCGGAAGCAGTATGTGCCATCCCATAATTGGGTAGACCAGGTTGCCCTGATAGACCAGTCTCTCCAGAAACACACTTAACGTATGACCGTTTTTCACACTTATGACCATTAGAGCATCCCACAGTCCCTTGGCAACTGGTTCATAGTTATGAATATAGTGGCAGTGTACCAGGTCCATGTGATCCCTTCTGACAAGCAAAGTAGGAGGGGAAGACAGATTCGCTTTACAACTGGGTTACTAGCTTAACAACAGTATTGATTCACTTAGCAACTCTGGCAAGAAAGGTTGTAAAAGGGGATAAAACTCACTTAACAACTGTCTCGCTTAGCAACAGGAAGTTTGGGTTCAATTGTGGTCATACGTTAAGGATTACCTGTAAAAACTGATATTTCCAGAAAAGCAATGTTGTCGGTATTTTGTAACAGCAACTGGCTTTTAGGTTATTTTCCGCCAGACTGGAGTATGGTTGCATGGATTAGAATTCAGCTCTGGAATAATGGAAGGGAAAGGGAGAAAAAAAGTCTATATTTGTGATCAGACAAAGCACGTATTCGATGTGATACAGACACCTTCAATTTCTTGTGGTTACATCTCTTACCTTCTTATAACTATGCCCAGAAAAATTACTATGTAAGTTATTTGCAGCACGGACAACAAAAGATTTTACGTGCTCACAATAGAGACTAACCAATGGATATGCTTTTGTGCATTATATCTTCAGATGCATGTAGTATATTATCAGTACTGTTAAGCCTGGATTCCCCAACGGGTGTTAAGGAAAACAAACTAAACAGAATGTGCAGCGAAGTCAGATAGGAAGACAGGTAAATGTGTGAGATAAGTTTTCTAGTTAACACGCAGTAAAAATACAGATACGCTTGTGCTATCAAAAATATAGTTTATTCCATTTAAGAATTATAGCATAGTCAAATGTAACGGTCCATTAGTCATATATCAATTTCAGTCAAGTCTTGTCGGGGATACTCTATTTGCAAAGTCCGTGTTGAATAGCCAATGTCAGTTCACTTACAATAAATCAGTCCAATCTTTATCTTCTCTCCGTTGAGAAAAATCAACACTCCTTTTTCTCTCCCCGTTCCAGCAAGAACGCAGTCATCAATCCATCCAGTAATTAGGGATCAGTAAGCTAGAGAGAGAGAGCTGCAATTGCCTCGCTTCTTATATAGTGCTTTTACAACCACACCCTTAATTACATTCTTGCTGTTAAAGTTACACACACTTTAACTAACAAACCATGATACCATATTTATTATTTTTACCCAAACCAGTTAGGGTAAACAATGTTATCCCTAACAAGTACTACACATACCTGTAATTAAAACCATCCCACATAATGGGTCACTACAGGGAGTCCTCGTTTAGTGACCACAATTGGGGATGGCAGCTTGATTGTTAAGTGAAACAGTTGCTAAGTGAAACCATGACAGTGCTTTTAATCTGATTTCAGTTTTCCTTTGCTTTCCAGATCTGCAAAAGTTGTAAATGTGAGAATTGGTCACAGTTACTTTTTCATCACTGTTGCGACTGCAAATAGTTGCTAAGTGAGGCAGTCACTAAATGGGGACTACCCGTATTATTCTATTCTGGGAAAAGTGAAGAGAGAGCTATTCAGTTCCGTCTATATCACCAGCTGAACTAGACTGAAATTCTGCAGCATTTCTGTTGATATCATCACATGTGTGACTATGACACATAACTTGGTGACTAATAGCTTTCCGAGCAGATGAAATGTACAATTCGTACTTGAACTTGTTATTTTCTCCTCCCCCCACCCCCCGCAAAAAATACTACAATGTCCCAAAAGAAGGAAGAGAAAAAGATGGTGGGTGAGGTAGCAAGTGGAAGCAGGAGCGTTGGTGCAAAACTGAGACAGGCGGCATATAAATAAATCTCTTTATATAAAAGCGAAATACCATCATCACAAAATCTCCAGAACCGTTAAAGCCTACAAACTTGAAATTTAGCATGTATAGTTCCTCTTGGCTTCTAGGTGCTCACTAAGAAAGGATTTTTCGAAATGCCCATCAGAGCATTAGTATTTTGTACGTATATTATTATTAACATGCTCTGATGCTAAGGAGTTCTACTCCCCCTCCCCACCTGAAAAGAAATCTGTTCCAAATGCAAAACACAAGCAGAAAGGAATTTCCATTTCAGTTTCACAGCAGCAACCAGGTCTAGTACAGAACAGTTGAGCTAAGCCACGCCCAGGCTCCTTGCTGTCTCCTTGCTCACACAGCAAATACTGTTTCAGTTTCCAAACAGCCCTTAATTCTCTCTCACACTGACAGGACGTTAGCCAGATGAATACTGATGAATGCTGGTAAGCAGAGGCAGAATTCCGCCCCCCCCCCTATTTTCCTCCCCCAAAACTAAGCTGACCACATAGTTTCATAGTGAAGCACGGGTATCGAGCTAGTGTAATAATAAATAGAATAAAAAATGAGAGGAAAAAAATGGTTTAGATTTTGTGTGGACCATTTCAAACACAAGCATTTATAAGGTCTAGAAACTTGATTGCTTCAAAAGGGGATGGTTGGTGCAATTTAGGGGTATAGAATTATTGTGCCAGAGGCCTGTCTTTCTTTTAAAATAAAAAAAATATATTGCACAAAAGTTAATTTCATTCCTGTTCTTGAATTTCTAGGAATTCCGCCTGGCCCTTTATATGGGAAATTGAAAGAAGGTATTCCGATCACTCTGGAAAATGGGAGAACCATTTCTCCTACAGATGTCTTAGAGAGTCCTTTTCCTGGAAGAAAAATTTGTGTTTTAGGAGATTGCTCTGGTGTGGTTGGGGATGGGGTGATGTCGCTTTGCTCTGAAGCCGATATCTTGATTCATGAAGCTACCCTGGATGACAGCCAGATGGACAAAGCCAAAGAACGTGGGCACAGCACGCCGAAAATGGCCGCCGAGTTTGCTAAGCTGTGCAAAGCAAGGAAATTGGTCCTCTCTCATTTTAGTCAAAGGTATAAGCCCGCAAATCAGGTAGGAGAAGGAGACGCAGACGTTACAGAGCTGAAGAAGCAAGCCGAGATGGTTTTGAACGGACAAGAAGTGGTGCTGGCTGAGGATTTTATGACCATTACTATCCCCGTTAAAAAACCCAAAATAGGGCTTGCCGGACAACAAAATGAAAATTAATTTGGCGGGTGTGCAAAATGTTTCCAGCTCTGACACTGTCTTTCAGGGGATCATCTTGGAAAGGACTGAAGGAATTTGGGTTTGAATTAAGATGGGCCTCTTTGTATGAACATCTGTTCTTTATTGCGCCCAATATTTCTGATTATTATTACCTTTATTGTCAGAGTACAACATGTGCACAATGAGATTGGCTGAGCCTCCCTTCGTGCACCCCTCCCCCAAAATACAACTCACAATGAGGACAGAAGTCCCTAACCCAGGCCCAATCTTATTACACTATGTGACCTTGATGCACAACACACTGGCCCCGCAATTCTATCATTCTATGTTGACAGGAAGTTATTTTCCATTCAGAAGTCTGACAGCCCACGGGTAGAAACTGTTCTTCAGCCTGTTGGTGCGTCTGGCTACGCTTCTCTATCTCCTACCCGATGGTAGGAGAGTGAAGTGTTGACGGGATGTGATTCGTCCCTGAGGATTTTCCTCACTCTTCTAAGGCAGCGAGCCCTAGTGAGGTCATCTAGGTCAGGGGTCGCCAACCTTTTGGACCTCAGGGACCACCAAACTCATAATTTTAAATCCCAGGGACCACTAACTGGTTCTGTGGGCGTGGCCTAATTTGTGGGTGTGGCTTGGTGATCATGTGACTGGCTGGGCATGGCTTGTATGTAAATATAAATAAATATTGAATTTTTTATTTTTAAAAAAGCAACTTTTACCCAAAATCAGGCAAAGCAGGCAGGCAGATTGAGTTGCTCACAGAATCATAGATTCATTCAGAGATCTACCTATCTGCCATTGGCTAGCTCAGTCTGTCACAAAATTTGTTTGCAAGCAAACTCACAAAATTAACTCACAACACACCATGTATGTAAATATTGAATTTGTTATTTTAAAAAAAGAGCAACTTTTACCCAAAATCAGGCAAAGCAGGCAGGCAGATTGAGTTGCTCACAGAATCATTCAGAGATCTATCTATCTGCCATTGAGCTCAGTCTCTCAAATTTGCTTGCTGGGAGTCTGCACTGAATAATAGAACCTTCAGTCCTAAGGGAGTTTCGGCTGTGCTTAAAAGCAGAGCCGAAGATCTAAAGACTAGCTAGAAAGCAAGAAATCCAACCATTTCCTGCTTCCTAGCTAATCTAAATCTCCCAGCACAGCAGAACAGATGATGGTTGGAAAAAGGAAAAATAGCAATTTAGCAGGCCAGTTTGCCAGGCAAGGAGTGAGTGGGCGGGGAGGGTTTTCACGGGCCATGCGGGCAGCACAGCCTTGTGTTTCTGCGCAGCCTGGATGGATTGCTTTGGAGGGGTGCTCTGGGGGTGAGATTTCTCTGCGGCCCACCAAAATTTTCTCACGGCCCACCAGTGGGCTACCACCCACCAGTTGGCGGCCACTGATCTAGTGGTATCAGCCCATGATGTTTTGTGCTGTGCTCTCCACCCTCTGTAATGTCTTTCTATCCGCGGTTGTCAAGCCAGCATACCACACCGTCATGCAATGTGTGAGGACGCTTTCTATTGTGGACCGGTAAAAGGAGGTCATCATCCGTTGCTCCACTTTATTCTTTCACAAGACCCATTTTGCAAGCATTTGTAATGTTGACACAGATTAAATGGGATTTGCTTCAGTGGTGGGTTTGAAAGTGGTTTACCACCAGTCCGGTGGGTGTGGCTTGGTGGGCGGGCATGCACCAAAAGCACATTTAGCGCATGCGCAGAGCAGTAGTGGTATTCGACTGGTTTGGCCTGGTTCTGACGAGCTGGTAGGATGAGCAGCGGAGACTAAACCGGTTCTCTCCACCACTCTGCTATTGGGCCTACCCACCCACCCGGCTCCCATACTCAACTTTATCCGCTGAATATGAAGCACAGCTGCTTTGCGCGGCACAGAAGAGTGTCATGCAGCAGCTGCTGAAGCAACTGGGATCGTGCAGGCTCGCAGGAGGCGAGTTAGAATGCCTTTGTGCCTGTGCAAACACCTCAGTGCCTGTGCAAAGTGTGCGTTTGGCGCACACATGCACGCAAAGTTTGTGCACACGGGCAAAGCAAGCCCACCAAGCCACACCCACCAAACCGGTGGCAACCATATTTGAATCCCACCACTGGCGCAGAGGCTTTCCTACTCACCACCTGCAATCCTGCACTCTCCCTGCCGCTTCAACAGCTGACGCGCAGCAATTGGCTGTGCCGCGCAAAACAGCTGCGCTTCAAAAGCAGGGAATGAAGGTCAGGATGGGAGGATGGGGGGGCAGGGGGCCCAACAGCAGCTCCTCAGAGAGAACCGATTCGGTCTCGGCTGATCTTCGGCACTACCGGTATACCAGAACCAGGCCGAACCGGTAGAATAGCACCATTGCTTTGTGTGCTAGGCCTCTCTCTGCAAGAGGGATGCCTCCCTTGTAAGGCAAACTCTCGGGTTTTAGCTCTTTGGAACTGAGGGCCTTCGTGAATGAAGGCTGCAGTTTTTTTAAACGTTTAGGAATACAGGTAGTCCTCGCCTTACGACCGCAATTGAGCCCAACATTTCTGTTGCTAAGTGAAACATCGGATAACTGAGCTTTGCCCCACTTTACAATCTTTTCTGCCACCGTTGTTAAGCAAAGCACTGCGGTTGATAAGTGAGTAACCCGGTTGTTAAGCGAATGTGGCTTCCCCATTGACTTTTGCTTGTCAGTAGGTCGCAAAAGGGGATCGTATGACCCTCAGGACACAGCAGCGGTTGTAAATAGGAATTAACAGCCAACCATCGGAATGTTCGGGTTTAACAATTTTATTGAGTTATAAAATACTATAAGATTCAAAATATAAAAGTAAATAGGGAAACTGGCGAGGAAGAGGGGCAAGAGAAATGAGGAAGGATTTTTTTTTTTCTGGTTTAACATTTTTATTGAGTTATAAGCAACCATCTGAATTTTAATCACATGATTATGGGAATGCTGCAGAGGTCGTAACTCTGAAAAATGGTCATAATTCTCATTTTTCAATGCTGTCATAATTTCAAACGGTCATTAAATGAACTGTTGTAAGTCGAGGATTGCCTATACATGGGAATAATTGAAGTTGGGGTAGAGAACATGCTTTGAGGAAACATACACTTATTTGGTTGGGAGAGTTTGTCATCTTAATGCAGAGAGCATAAGAGTGTGCTAAACTTGGCAATGGTAAAACTTGTGGACTGCAGAAGAAATGGGCCGGCAAGGCAGGTGTTGGGGTGTGTGAGGCCTGGCGACAACTGTCCAAAGGTAAGTTGTAGGGCAGCTTCTGCCCTCATCCCTATCCTAGCTTAATTTTTACCTGTTCACTCTGGAGTAGGCTGGATCTTAATTAGGGCTTATTTGGGGGGGTGGTAGGGCTTATATTGGGCACACATATAAAAATCAAGCTAGGACTTACTTTCAGGGTAGGTTGTATTTTTGGAGAAGCAGGGTAGGAGTTGAAGCCCACAAGTCTTAAAGTGGCCAAATTTGGAGTCCCTTTGATTTTTCAAAAAATAATAATAATAATCTCTGTGACTGAATTTGAACAATCAGCATTTTCTGGAAGTGTGATATATGCAGAACATTTTTGCTGAAAATACGAAATACACACAAGAAAATAAATAAAATAGATGACAAACTTCTTAAATCACAAAAAAAAGCTCTAGACTCCAGACATAGAATACAGATGGGGCCAACTCCAAGGAGTCTGGATTTGCTCGGAGATTACATAACTTGGGTTAGTTGATGCAATTCAGATGTGGCAACTTAACTAATTTCAGAAATAAACGCTACCGAGAACCAATTGTGGTTTTGAAATGCTTTGGTAAGCAGTTTTTGTGTGCTTTTTATGTGTGTGTGTGGTAAGAAGAGTAGTATTAGTCATTAAGGGTAGATGTTTTCACTCCCTGGGGCATTGCAGTTCATTTACTGGCACAGCAAAAGAACTTTGAGGAATCGAGAGACATTGTGACGTGGTTTATCCTCTTTTAGAAAAACCTGTTCTTGCCTTTTTTATTTTTCCATCCAAGGGCATCCAGGAGTTAAAAGCGCCTCTACACTGTTGTGGTCCCACCTTCACTCAAATACCCTTGATCTGGTTTTATACTCTGCAGACACAAAAGGTACAAAGGTTGAGTCTTTCCCATATAAATGGAGCATGATTTGGATGGATTCTAAGTCCAGGTATTCCTGGACTTAAAACCACTCATTTAGTGACCATTCAAAGTTAACAATGGCACTGTGACAAGTGACATGACCATTTTTCACACTTATAACCATTTCGGCATCCCCACAGTCGCATGATCAAAATTCAGAGTCTTGGCAACTGGCTCATTTATGATGGTTGCATATCTTGGAGTCATGAAATGATCTTTTGTGACCTGACAGACAAAATCAATGGGGAAGCCACTTAACAACTGTGTTATTTACTAAACAACTACAGTGATTCATTTAATAAGGGCATAAAATGGAGTAAAACTCACTTAGCAACTGTTTTGCTTAGTGATGGAAATTTTGCATTCAATTGTCATGGCTACCTGTAGGTCCCATCTCCCCTTTTGAAGTAGAACAAACTGAGTTTATCGAAGTTTTCCTCTTGTTCCATGCTGGGAGCCAAATAAAATTTATTGTAATAATCATGGGAGCTCTGTCTTTTCTCCTTAACAATATGAGCTAAACACTCATCCATTTTGATACAGATGTTGGAGGACCAGTTTTTGGATTTTCCTCTGAGCATTCTAAACTCTGAAATCCAAAAAATTGTCACAGGCATTTTTCATCTGCCTTTTAATTGGTTTGGAAATCAGTTGAAACGGGGCAGGAGAAAAAGCCAGAGGGATTTTGCCTCCCTTGAATTTTTAGTCTTTTTACAGGAGGCATCCAGACAAGGATGAGGAAAAAATTGAGAAAAATAAGAAAAAATAAATAAGAAAAATAAGCGGCGCACGTATTTAATGAATAGTAAATGCATATTAAATTGCTTTTATCCTTTTCATGGTTTGCTTTTAATTTTCTTATTCTTACATGAGAGCAAACAAACAGCAAAGCTACAATACAGAAGATGAGAAATCCGAGTGCACTTGTAGTAAAATAACTTACAAGTCACTTAGTGACCATTCGAAGTTACAATGGACTTATGACCATTTTTCACACTTATGACCGTTGCAGCATCCCCATGGTCACGTGATTTACATTCAGATGCTTGG